AAGCTGCTGGGTAACTTTGGAACAATCAGCAGGAGACAGTGAGTTCTAGTACCGCCTTAGTCATGAAAGCCGATTGGGTGACTTTGATCCAATCATTCTCTCTCTCTCTCTCTCTCTTGGCCCAACCCATCTCAGAGGGTTGTTGTGAGGAAAACAAGAGTAGGAAGCCATATTGGCTATATTCGATGCCTTGAGTTCCTTCTAAAGTAATATAGATTTTTAAGAATGTAACCAATAAATAAATAATCCCTTTTCTTGAAGACCGCGTTTCTCCACCTGTGGAACTTTAAGACAGGTGGATGTCAACACCCCAGAATTCCCTAGCCAGTATTGGCTGGCTAGGGAATTCTGGGAGTTGAAGTCCACCTGTCTTAAAAATTGCCAAGGAAAACCGGCCTACCCCACTCCCAACCCAAACATCCGCCTCAAAGGCATTTTGGTACACGCACCAGATACCGCTCGGAGGAGACGCTGACGAGGATGAGGTCGTCCCCCACGCGCACCTTCTCCCCTTCCGACCGCTGCTTCGAGGCAGGATGGATGGTCCACCAACACGCTTCCCCTGCGGAGGGGAGAAGGGAGAATGGTGGGCGGCTATGCAAATGGCCGCCGGGAATCCAAGCCCATTTCCCCCACAGCCATGCAGCATTCCTTCCCCCAGTCCGCCTGGCGGGGGTAGGCCAGCCTTTCCGAAGAGAAAGACGGCAGCCAACGCCGAGGCGGTTTCGGAACGCGAGGCAAAGAGGGTGTCAACTCATAAAATATTTCCATGGTCTTTTTAGAGTTGCCAACAGAAAGGGAGGGGGGAGCAGCGCGGCAGCTTGCGAAACCGAAAGTGCATTCCATAAATGTTTTTCAAAGATAGTAACTAGGTGACTGAAGTTTCTGCTGCACAAATATCTAACTGGAGAGCATGATTGATGATTCTTGGCTATGGATCTGTCCCATTGGAGAATATGGATTACGATACACCCAGAGGGGTGGGGGGAAAACCAGGGTCAAGGGTGACAATGAATGGTGTGCCTCAGAGTCGGTTACATCCAGGCAGTGCCAGCATGTTAACTCCCGATAAATCCTTTTAAAGTTTTGGTTTAAATGGGAGGAACTGCCTGGAATCCTGACAGAAGTTCTCTCTTTCTCGTTCGTTAGTCCCATCATGCTTTGGCATCCCACACAGGCTGCTAACTCCTTGTCCAATGCGGAGAGAAAGTAAACTATGCACAATTATGCACAAATATGCAAATATATGCGTGGAGGGAGGCCTCGGTATGGAATGAAATTTCTCGAGTAACAATTCTGCTCCGCTGGAGGACTCATGCAGATCACAAAACTCTGCTTCTATGGGGCACCCGGTTTCGGTTGCAGGTTGTCTTCAACTTATGACCATGACAGGGAGCAGAATTTCCCGCCGCTAAGCAAGGTGGTTGTTCAGTGAGCCATCCCCCAGTTTGGCACCATTTTTTCCCGTCACGGTTATTAAGCGAATCACTGCAGAGTCGTTAACGAGAATCCAGCTCTGCTAATCCGGCTGGGAAAGTGGCAAATGGCAGTTCCATGAGGCTACAAACATCCTTAAGTACAGATAAGTCCTCGACTTATGACAGCAACGGAGACCAGAATTTATGTGGCTAAGCTAGAAATGTGAGAAGTGAGGGTTTTTTTTTTTTGTTCTCACCACATTCGTTAAGCGAATCACCGCAGTTGTTAAATGTTTGTCTGGCAGTCGTTAAGTGAACCTGACTCCTCCCCACCATTGACTTCTCTGGTCAGAAGGTCATGAAAATTGGTCCCATGATCCCCGGGGACACTGCAACTGTCATAAACGTGAGTTAGTTGTCAAGCGTCCGAATGTAAATCGCGGTGATCGCGGGAGGTGCTACTGCAATGGTCCCAAGTGTGAAAAAATGGTCATAAGTCACTTTTTTCTGGTGCCACTGTCACTTCGGTCACTAAACGAACCGTTGTAAGTCGAGGACCAGCTGTACATGCTGGTAGCCATCTGCCTGCATTTCCCATGGGAAATGCAGCAATGGCCATAAGTGTGAAGACAGGCTGCAAGCCACTGTTTTTCGGTGCTCGTCATAACCTTAACAATTCACTAAACGAATGGGGTTGCAAGGGAAGGTCTATCGAGTTACCTGGGTTGGAGTCTAAGGAGGAGAATAAGAAAATGAGAACAAGAACAACAATGCATAAATTGTACACACTGCGCAGAGCATAAATATAGTATATAAGGGGTATCAATAACTATGAACACATAAATACCTAACCCAAAATGCATTTATTTTAAGCTGCTTAAAATTCGTTGTGTGGCGGGGGGACGGGGACCCAGAAAAATGAGAACAGACCCATGTAAGAGTTTCATAAGGAAAATCCTTCCTCCCCATCCCTTCAAACCCTCCCATAGAACTGTGGGGCTGTAAGGGACCTCAAAGGTCATCTAGTCCAGGGGTGGTATTCTACCGGTTCAGCCCGGTTCAAGTGAACCGGTAGCAAAAATGCTACCGTTCGGCTGAACCGATAGTAAAAAAAAGAAAAACAGCTACCGGTTCAGCTGAACCAGTATTTCTTTTACTTCCACCCCCCTCCCAACGATCAGCTGTGCCGAGGTCTCCCTCGCTGTCTTACTGCTTCGCCCGCGAGGCTTCCCTGAGGCCCAGGAGGCTCCTAAAACAGAGCGCGGAGGGCAGGGGTGCTGCCCAAAAAAAGCCACGCCCACCCAGTCACATGGCCACGCCCACCTAGCTATGCCCCCAGAACCGGTAGTAAAAATATTTGCATCCCACCCCTGTGGATCGAGTGCAACCCTCTGCATCCTCTGTAAGAAAACCCAAGTGTTCCCTTGAGCGCTCAGCCACGTCACGTACCTGAAGCATCTTCTTGAAGGCCCACGTCGAAGGCGAGTTTATCCGTCAAGGAACGCGAGGTGGTCAGGCAGCTTAAATACTAAACGTTGGGAAGAAGAAAGGATATAAGCCAGGATTCCTGTTTTAGGGATAAGCCAGGATTTCTGGTTTACTTATCTCAAATGCAAAAATCATTACCCCCCAAAACAGCCTAGGCCAGGAATGTCGAACCTTAGCAACTCTTAAGACTTCCAACTCCCAGAATTCCCCAGCCAACATGGTTGACTGGAGAATTCTGGGAATTGAAGTCCACAGGTCTTAAAGTTGCCAAAGTTGGACACCCCTGGTCTGGACAATGGGATGACTGGCCACAAGGGTGGGGAGTTGGTTGACGCAACTTATGTTTCAGACAAAGAAATCTAGGTTGAGGTTGTTCCAGTAATGTATGGCGGGAGTTTAGACTGCCTTTAAATCAATCCACTTTGGCCTCTTTAAGACGAGTGGACTTCAACTCCCAGAATTCCCCAGCCAGTGTGTCAAAATCCGCTTGTCTTAAAATTGGCAAAGGTGAGAAAACACTATAGTAGGGTTTTGCGATAGCGAAACTATAACCAGGTTTCAAAAACAGGAAGAGGGATTGTTATGTCTGTTTGCTGCCTTGAGTTAACTGCAGGATGAAAATATATATATATATATATATAGTAGCTCGATACCTGTGCTTTGCTACAAAACTATGTGGTAGGGCTTAGTTTTTTGGAAGGAAAATAAGGTGGGGGGGATTCTGCCTCTGCCTACCATCATCCATCGGCTAGCATCCTGTCAGTGTGTGTGAGTTGGAGGGCTGTTTGGAAACTGAAACAGTATTTGCTGTATGAGCAAGGAGATAGTAAGGAGCCTGGGCGTGGCTTAGCTCAACTGTTCTGTACCAAAGCTGGTTGTTGCTGGGAAACTGAAATTCCTCTCCTCTGCTTGTGTTTTGCATTTGGAAGAGATTTCTTTCCAGGTGGGGAGGGGGAGTAGAACTCCTTAGCATCAGAGCGTGTTAATAATAATAATATACGAAATACTAATGCTCTGGTGGTCATTTTGAAAAATCCTCTCTTAGTGAGCACCTAGAAGCCAAGAGGAAGATAGGTGCCAAATTTCTAGTTTGCTTTACGGTTCTGCAGATTTTGTGATGATGTGTGAGGGGTATTTCGCTTTTATAGAAGATATATATTAAAAAGAGGATTTCCCACCCGTTTTTTTTTACTTTAATCAACAGTAGCTGTTTATTCCTAGTCTGTGAATTTTGGTACTATATATTCCACCACCAATGTCCCATTTCTGCTCCTCTTCGCATGATGACATGCCTGAAATCTTCACTTAGTCTCCACTGCCGTGCTGAGCATCAAGCAACGTAGGTTGATGGGAATTCTATTCTTTGCGCTCCTTAAAAAAGGATTTGCATTAAGAGTTGGTCCTTCCAACACCATCTCTGCGGTCTCCTTAAACCGTTGTCCTCTTTGGAACCCCGAAAGGTAGTCAAATCACATCCTGAGAACCAGCCACAGGTTGGTTCTGAGAAGATAGGTCTGAACTGATGCCGTGAGTTGATTGCAACGTCCACCGGCAGTCAATTCCTTCTGGGCTATTGAATCTAAGTAGTAGCAAGGGGGACGTCTCCAGCAAGTGGTTCCAGCCAACGCAAACACCTGCTTGTCTAAAAGTGAATTACGTGTCTCAGAATCGGATTGCTGCCAGGATTCCAGTGATCGACCTCATGAAAACACGAGACTTGAGCCAAGCGTAAAAAACTACGAAGAATTTATTAGGAGCGAACATGTCGGCGTGACCTGTTTGAAGCTGATTCTGAGACATGTAATTCATGGCCACCCTGGACCCTGTTTTCCCCCCCACCCCCACCCCTTTGGGGTGCATCATAATTCATATTCTCCAACAAACACGTTCATAGCCGAGAGTCATCAATCACATTCTCCAATTAAGAGATTTGCGTGGTCGCTTAGTTACAACCTTTGCAAGATAAGAATGGAATGCACTTTCGGTTCCAAACTGCTGTGCTGCTCTTTTGAATTTCCTTCCCTCCCCCTGCCTCCCACTTCTGTTCGTGGCAACCCTAAAACAGGCATAGAAATGTTTTATGAGTGGACAGGTGACCAATTCAGGCCTTCTTCTGGTGGCGAGCCTCCATAGCTGTGGTCCTCCTAGGAACGGTGACACAGAAGGCAAGGAACAGCCAGCAACGCTCCACCTCAGATGACCTCAGCTTCTTTACTTAGAACTTCGACTTGGCCTCCAGAACTTCTCCCAGCCTTTTCAAACCTTGACGTTGACTTGGCGGAGAACTATGTCCCGTCTCCTCAAAGCCTTCCTTTGAGATGCCTTGCAATTTTTACATCCCTCCTTTGGTAGAGAACTTATGACTCAGGGTCTGAAAATAAACCCTGCTTGGCTTTGACCCAAAATGGCCCTGGTTGCCACTGTCCACTGGGGGTTGGGGTTCGCCGGCAGCAGGTGTGGACGGCTGAGGTCTTGGAGAGCGAGGACTCGGATGAGAGCCCTGCGTGTGAGGCAGGGAGGGAGCCAGGACCATCAGGGAGTGGAATGCTACCTTCGGAGGTTGTGGAGGCTGGCAGCAGTGAGGAAGAGGTTCCCGAGGAGCCTGTGCCCAGTGCGCACAGGACTACTCGAAGGAAAGAGCAGCTGCAGCAGCACGGGCGACTCGGGAGTAAGGCTGCAAAGTAATGGCCCCTTCCTGAGAAGATAAAAGCCAGCTGAGAAACCGCAGTTCTGTGCAGAAGGCAAAGAAGTTTGATACTCGAGCCTGGTGGGCGTTAAGAACATCTGAGTTGGTATTTGGGGTCTCTCTGATTTATTGTTTAGTAACTTTATGTAGAGTTGTAATTGCCGGAATGTTCCTATCTCGGATGGCAAACCTCAGATAAAGAATGTTTCCAAGCAAATACAACTCAGGCAAACAAAGTCACTAATCTAAAGGAGGATTAGAGAGAGGAAGTAAACATATATGTTAGACCAGGGGTGGCTGAGGAATTCTGGGAGTTGAAGTCCACAAGTCTTAAAGTTGCCAAGGTTGGACACCCCTGTGTTAGACTTTAACTAGAGATAATTAATTGTGTTAATTACTATTATGCTAAACAGTAACGAAATTTAAGCAGTAACCAAAGTTAACCAACGTTGGAGGATAATTAAAATGTGTATAAATGCAAGACTAGACTCCAATAAAGTTCATCGTGATTCAGTTGTTCATGATCAAACAACTCGACTGCCTCGTCCTTACAAAAACTTTATCTGGTGTTCTTGGCACTTTGGCAAGGCTCTTTCTTATCGGAGCTCCTTAGTTGGAAGCAGCCTTTTATCCGTGAAGGAACGGGATTTGTAAATGAAATATTAAAAGGTTGTGCGGGTTACCTTTGTCTCGTGTTTGCTCTCTTGGAACCAGGTTTGGGTCAGAACACTGGGCTTGTGTAGAGTCACTTTACCCCGTGCTGAAGCTCCCCAGCCTTCCCCTGCCCCCGTGTCAGAATCCACGGCTTCCTTAAATTCCATTCTCCCGGCCCGCTTACCATGCCGCTGTGGGAATGCCGGAGAAGAATAGCGTGTCCATACAGCAGAGTCCGATGTCCACCGCCTTGTGAGGACTGGAGGATGACAAGGCAAAAGACAAAGTCAAATCACACACACACACACACAAAAAGGCATTTGACAGGCTTACCTGTGGAACGCTCAACCTGGAGCTCGCTCAAAATCCATGCACCCATCCCACAATAACGATCACCAGCTTTTGGGCTAGACAAGATCCTAGACCTCGTGGTTGACCAAACAAGAAGGCGTCTGAGACGTTCAGAGGTAGGATTGAAACCTACTAACCAAAAGGTAAGATGGCAACCATCTCTAAGTCAAGCTTGACCCTCGGTTAGTTCATGGGTGTCCATGGAGTTCTCTTGGCAACAATATAGGTTTCCATTGTGGGGGATTTTTTTTTTTTGGAGGTCTTGCTGATCTCCCATCCAAACGACAAACCAGATCTGACCCTGCTTAGCTTTGTAAGATCAGCCAAGATCGAACTGATGGCGTCATTTCTTCAACTCAACAAGTTAGCGGAGGAGTGGGCAGTTAATTTCACTAAGGGTCACCTGTGAAACTGGGACCATTGTGGAGGGCTGAACCAATAAGGCCCCTGCTGTTGCCTCCACTGCTGGACAGGGACAGCCAAAGGGCCGGTTGTGGCCCGCGGGCCGTAGAGTGCCCAGGTCTAAGTTACGTTGTAGTAAAGAACACAATTACTTCTGTTTGACTCGGGCAGACCTACTTAACTTCGCAAGTTAAGTGGAAAGCAGATGTTAAAATTGTGGGATGACTTCAAGAATCAAGAGACACCCCCATTTTTTTATTTTTTTTACCGGACACGCTACCATTCAAGGTCACCACGGAGTAGGCCCAAGTTCTCCTTACCATCCAGGCTAGGCAACCCAACAATTGGTTTCCCGTGCGGCACACGTGGAAGAATAGATTTGACAATTTCCATAAGAGACAGTCCCGGTAAGTTATGTGCTCGTCTCTGCATGAGACATCCCTCACATAACACCATAGGTCTTCTATCTCTTGGAAGGGATGGAAGAGTATCTCTGGAGCAACTAAGCATTTGATGCCCAACGGACTTGGGAGTTGCAATTCGAACACCACAGCCAAAACCGCATTTTTCACCCAAGTCAAAAGGGGCGGAGATGCTTAGTTGCGGGGAAGGGAGGAAAGGCTACTTGGCTCTTTCCACCACTGTGTAGCTACGTTGGGCCAGACCAATTGCAAATCCTTCCCCCTCACTAAAATTTCAGCTGAGTCTTTGTATGCCCTCCTAGGTATGTTGATGCAGCAGTTGCAACCCAGTAACAAGACGAAAATCGGATATTTGCCTTGATCTTGATTTCGCAGCGATCAGGAACAATATACCGGGAGTCCTCGACTTATAGCTGTTCGTTTAGTGACTGCTCAAAGGGACAAAGGCATTTTTTAAAAAAAGAGGGCTTATCACCGTTGTTCACACTTACGACCGTGCCTCCGGATGCTTGACAAACGGACACACATTGTTGTGGTCCGCCGGCAGCCTGCGGAGACAGCACCAGAGTCGGACAGTGGGGAGGAACGTGGGCCAGTCGGAGAGTCTGGGGAGGACTCGGACGATGGTCCTGCGTCCCGATCCAGAGATGGGGCCAGGATCCATCTGGGAGTTACTTGCCGACTCCGGAGCCTTCGGAGCCTGGCAGCAGCGAGGCAGAGGAACAGGGGAAGAGTTCGACTCCTGCATCTTATATCTCAAGGGGCATACAATAAGTGACATCCTCAAAGGATGGATCTGTTTGATGGATCTGTCTGCACAGATGTGACCAGATCACTGACTCGCAGCAGAAAATGCAAAAAAAAAAAAGTCAAAAGCTCCAAAACACACTCAGGAACGTCTTGATCATTTCATGTATTCTTGCAACCAGAAAACTCACATCCCATGAACAGGGACCCAACTGCCATGTAGCCATCATAGTAGGCCTGTAGGTCCAGTTTATTGGGATAGAGGCCACAACCCCAAGAGCTTTGAGGACAGAGCACTTGTAGTCCATACGAGCCTGCAGTTGTTTACTGCAGAATTCAAATTATTGCACGACACAGAATTTTAATCTTCTTTTCCTTGGGGGTCAAACGATCTCGAATAGGGCAGGATTCATGTCCTCCTAGCTCAGCTACCTTGTAAACAGTTCCTTCTTCCAGCTGTTTTTTTTCCCCCACCAACATTTTATCCCAATAAAGCAGCAATAAAACAGATGTGCAGGCTCAACATGGGTTGCTTGTCAACTAGAATTTCCTGGATGTTCTTCCCCAAAACTTGAACGGGGTTGAGGGGGAATAAGACGAGATCCAAGATGGGTCCCCTTAGAAAGGCGGTTGGGAACCTTTCTGGAACCCATAAAGTTGCTTCTGGGTTGAAGATTTTGGTGAGTAAGATGGGGCAGACCATGGCACATCCCAGGACGAAGCGTTTCTCCCTCCCAACCCTCCGTTGTCAAGTGCAAACCAGCATGTTTCTTTTCATCACACTCCGCTCTACACCCAACACAGTGAAGGGTTTTCCAGAAGGAAAGAGGAGTTCACTGAGTTCACATGCAATGAAGTAAGAAGGGGACACAGGATCAGATCTGGGAAACCACAACCATCAGTGGAGAAGTCCAATGGGAAGGAAGATGGGTTAAAAACATGGAAGAAGGAAGGAGGAGGAAGAGGAGGTAAGGAGGAGGGAGAGGGAGATTACTGGAGGGAGGGGACAAGGGGGATCCCACCTGGTTTCCCACAAGGAAGGCCCATTGCTAAGAACTGTGGGGTTGGCAAAGCCCACCCAGATTTCACCGTCACATTGCTCTACACCAGAGGGTCTTCAAACTGGATAGCTTTAAGACTGGTGGACTTCAACTCCCAGAATTCCTCCTCCAGTCATGTTAGCTCAGGAATTCTGGGAGCTGAGGTCCACAAGTCTTAAACTTGCCAAGTTGGAAGACCCTTCTCCTACACTTTCGTAGGAATCCCCAACTGCTCCAAAGCTTTTGTTCCTGGAGGAGAACCTGCTTGTGGGGCAGTTGTGGGAATGGGAACAGGAGGACAGTGGGACAGGACGTAAAATAAAAACCCCTGCCTCTTTGGTGAGTAAGCTGGCTTAGTTCTAGGAGATGTATCTCAATATATCTGTATGGTAGCTGATGGCTAGCATAGCTTAGAAGGAAGGCAACTTCACTATTTGGGGGCCCTTTGTCAGGCGTGGAAGATCAGGTCCACATTTTAAGATCCAATTAAACTGATGTGTTGCTAATCGTGCCATTGCAAAGGAATCTTCTCAAGGAATGATTAGCACCTGCTTGGAATTAGATAAGGGTCTATAGGAGATGACCAGGCTGAACCCAAGGGTGAGATAAGCCACGTCATTGGTCTGGAATCCCTACACCCCACAAAGAGATCTAAGTCTACCCCCCCACTTTGAAGTCCATTGATTCTTATCTAGCGCCAATTTGAATGAACCGTTCTAGATCAGGTTCTTGGGTAGAGGTTGCAGGGAGTAAAATATTCAGGGCTTCTGGACTCTTCTCTTGGCTCCTGGTTTCTTGTGCCTGAATGGAATTCAAGGGAGGTTGGACTTAGTTGACTACGTAAGGATGCTAAGCTGGTCGCTCTTTTAACTCCACCCCCAGATTTTTCCACTCTTTCTCTTACACCGGGGGCGTCAAACTCAATTTCATTGAGGGACACGTTTTTGATCTCAGGGGTGTGCTGGGGGGGGCCCACCTTAACATCACTCGTGTTGGGGGCGTCTGTGGTGGCCCGAGGGTTTTGCCAGCGAAAATGGCCTCCTGCCAGCGAAAACAGAGCCCGCCTTCAGCCCTTACGAACTCTGCTTTTGCTGGCGGAGACACTGCAGGTGGGTCCTTCGCTGTTTCAGGGGGGTCCCGTGGGCTGGATCGGGGCCACGGGCCTTGAGTTTGACACCCCTGTCCTACACTCAAGGAGCAGGACTCCTGTTTGTATGGAGTTGGAGGGTTTTCTGAGGCCGGATGCCTCTCTTCCCATTTGAAGGTACTTAATATGGCCAGTTGATCCTTCACGGCATCTCAACGCTCTTTCCCAAATGGGCCTTCGACCCTGAACGTAGCGTGAACATCCTGGAATGCCCTTCAAAACAAAACAACTTGGGTCCTTCTTAGGTTAACGCCCCACCAGCAGGGGTGGGATTCTACTGGTTCGGAGCGGTTCGGCCGAACCCCTGGCTCCGAAAATCAGCTAGCGGTGAACCGGTTTGCTGCGACAATCCTATACGCCCCTGTGCTTTAACTACCTATATCTCGGCTGATTCGGGCAGCACGGCGGATTGCCGTTTCTCAGCTGTGTTACTCAAGGGCTGCGCTCGCACGCACGTGCAAATTGCACGATCACCGAACTGGTTGTTACAACCTGGAGAATGCCACCCCGGCCTACCGCCCTACGGCAAATCGGCTGTCTTCTCAAAATCTGTCGCTTGTCTGTTAACGGGTTACATTTGAGGTGGGAACCCCGAGGAGGAAAATGGGAATTTGGAAGGAACACACCAAACTTGGTTGGGAGAAGGAATGAGGGGAGGGGAAAGGTTTAGAAGGAAGGGCATGAGGAGGTGGGATCACGGCAGCGACTGAAGGTAGCACCTACCCACTTGTCCAAGTCAACACCCTAGCGGGTCAGTCGGCAGATTTGAGAAGCCAAAGAAAAGAAGAAGGAGAGAAGGTGAACCATCGAGGATTACTCAGGCCAAGGGTCAGCGGGATACCTGAGGCTTGCTGGGGGTCTCCCTTCACCCCTTAAAAGGACCCCCCCTCACACCTTCCATTCATTCATCATTCAAGATGCCCATTAGGTTCACCCAGGGGTGGGCTTCAAAAATTTTTAGCAACCTATTCTCTGCCCGGTTGCTGGGTGGGCGTAGCTATGGTGGGTGTGGCCTACTAGGCCTCCTGCATCATGGCGGGGGGGATGTTTTTGCCCTTCCCGGACTCCGGAGGCTTTCCTTGAGCCTCTGGGAGGAGGAAAATGGACTCCCCGGGCTCCAGAGACCCTCTGGAAGCCGGAAATGGGCCGGTTTCCAGTCTTCCCGATCTTCGGAGAGGCCCATTGTTCCACCTCCCCAAGCCTCCGTCCACGCCCTGGACTTACCTGGGATCCCAAATGGGCCACGTGGAGATTCCTGGGAGGGGAGGGGTGGAGTGGGGTGGGGCCAATCAGGGTTGAGATTTGCCGGTTCACTGAACCGGCCATAAAATCCGCTACCGGTTAGCTATGGGTTCGTCCCAATGGGCCAAACGGGTAGCAGACCACCCCTGGTTTCGCCCCCCCTGGGAGAAAACGGAGAACGTAGCCAGGACACAGGCTCAGCCTCTCCGGTGGGGACCAATGGGATCCATTCCAGGTAGTAACACCCAGGAGCAGATCTTGGGGTTTGCACCCTTGCAGTTTTAGAGGGGGAATATTTTTGCATTCCACCAGCTGTCCTGAGAAGCAGAAATCAAAATGGCGAGGAGGTGCCTCTTCTTTCGATACAGCTCTGAGATTTCTACTTTTCCCGACTTAGCACCTTTAAGAAATTAGCAACTTTGCTTCCCCGCCAAAGCCGTTTAGGTGAAGGCTTAAATTTTGAGGTTGTGCCCAGAGTTCTTAACGGAGAAGGTTCCCAATTAAGGATAAGACTCTCTCATATTTCTACAGGACAACATTTATTCACATGTATCAGACCACCCTGTAATGTTAATTAAAATGTTCCTCTGGCATTGAGGAGTATCTGTAATGACTGAAATCATATTCTTATTCTCTTTTAATGACCCCCGTAATCCCTTGCAGGATGGGAGTCTGGGCAACTGAATGGAGCTAGCAGAGTGTTTACTGGCCAGATGCCCTTCCTATTGCCAATGAGGAGTTTAATCCAGCAGATCTATCCTCAGTGTGCCCAGAGAGAGAAATATCTGCCTCTACCTAAGATTGAACTTACAACCTCCTGATTGTGAGGCGAGAGCTCCACCTCTAGGCCACTGCACCGCCCTAATGAGTGACATCATGTCTATTTATTTAATTTGGTGCCACCCAATTCCGGAGTGACTCTTCCCCGGTCTTCAAACCCCACCCACCCCATGCCAATGTGCCTTCTCTTCATCCAAGCCACAAAGAAGAATTCTGTAATAATGGTATGTGGGGATGGCCTTGGGAGGCAGGAGGAAGAGAAGCAGGCTAGGCAACCGTCAGATAAGAGGCAGCCGAGCCCAGGGAAGAAATAAAGTTGTAGCAAACATCTCAGAAGACACCCTCCCTAGTTTCTGAGGCTGTATAGGTGAGCGGGCAGAAGTGTACTTCCTTGTTTGCAAGATTCTGTTAAGGTAAGCATATAATAAAGGCAGAGCTATAGCACTCCTGGGTGTGCTTCTTATGTGGACTACCTCACAAGGCTGGCATGTGTCCACATGCATAGCTTTTGTGCCGGACGCATGAAAGAGACGCTCAACTGCTCACCCTAGTACAGTGATGGCGAACCTTTTTGTTGCGGTGTGCCAAAAGCGTGCGCGTGAGCCAGCACCCACAATGCAATGCACCCCGCCCCTCTGCGCATGTGCACACAACTCTCCCTTACCTGCACTGCACATGTGTGCGCCTCCCAGCTGATTTTTCGGTTCATTTGAGGCTGGTTTTGCCTTCCTGGGGGCTCAAGGGAAGCCTCTGTAGCCTTTGGAGGCTGAAAAATGGGCCCATTTCAGCACTTTCCGGTTTCAGCACTTCTGGTATTTCTGGAAGGCCCATTTTTCGGCCTCCAAAGGCTACAGAGGCTTCCCTCAAGCCCCCAGGAGGGCAAAAAAGGCCTCAAATGGGCTGAAAATCAGCTGGGAGGCGCGCATACGCAGTGCAGGTAAGTTTGGCACAAATGGCTCTGTGTGCCACCTATAGCACACATACCATAGGTTCGCCATAACGGCCCTAGTAAGATACCTGTAGCTCTCTTGAATACACACACACACACCCATTCTCATCCATGGTTTGATCTCGAGGAGGCCACACCAAGAGCCACCCTTCTAACTCACTGCCCCCGAAGGAAGGAAATTTTGTCCCCCTTCTTACCTCAACCCCGGCTTCCACAGTATTGGCCAGCATTTCCTGAAGAGCTCGTACAGACAAGGATTGTTCCAAACTGAAGCAGCATATTGCCAGGTCCGGAGGGACTTTCTGTGTAGGGATAAAAAACTAGGGGTGGTTTCTATTGACTGAGTTTTACAACCCGATTTGCCGCCACAACCACCTGGCCACAACCCAAAGTAGAAAATAAAACTCCGCAAGCTCATCGAAAGACTTAGCCATGATTCCAGTTTGGTTTAGTGGTTAAGGACCCCAGTTAGAAAGCGAGAGACTATGAGTTCTAATCCCGCCTTAGTTATGAAAGCCAGCTGGGTGACTTTGGGCCAATCACCAGGAGACTGGGAGTTCTAGCTCCAAACTTAGCCAACGAAAGCAGTTGGGTGACTGTAAACCAATTGCCAGGAGACAGTGAGTTCTAGTCTTGCCTTAGGCAGGACAGCCAACTGGGTCGTTTTAAGCCAATCAGCAGTACTGTAGATGGTGAGTTCTAGTTCTGCCTTAGGAATGAAAGCTGGCTGGG